TGGCTGCACTTCCTCCAGGACAGATATGTTAGTTCTTTTAGCAGTCCACAGTACTTTCAGCATTCTTCGCCAGCACCACAACTCAAAAGCATAAAACCTTATGAATAGCAAAGAAACCAGGTAAATATGGATATAAATATCTCTTAGTGTTAGTGGATACTTTCTCGGGATGGGTGGAAGCATACCCCACTAAAGGGGAAATAGCACTAACAGTGGCCAAGAAAGTTTTAGAAGAGATAGTACCCAGATATGGAATGCCTAGAACGTTAGGATCAGGCAATGGACCAGCTTTTGTAAGTAAAGTTATCCAGGGCTTAGCCTCAACTCTGGGGGTAAATTGGAAACTACATTGTGAATATAACCCTCAGAGTTCGGGGCAGGTAGAAAGAATGAACAGAACCCTAAAGGAGACCCTATCTAAATTGGCAATAGAAACTGGCAGAGACTGGGTGACCCTCCTTCCCTTTGCGCTCTACCGGGCTAGGAATACCCCGTACACGCTGAATCTGACCCCATTTGAAATAATGTATGGGACGCCACCCCGTATTATTTCCAACCTGGAAAAATGTCCCAATGACTTGTCAAAAGATTTAATCTTGGGGATGAAAACTCTCCAAATAATTCAGAAGGAATTATGGCCCAAACTCCGAGCCATATATGAAGGTCCTCTTAGTGAACAGGGAATTGACCATGGGATTGAACTGGGAGATTGGGTACGGGTAAAGAGGCACCAGAAAAAAACACTGGAACCTAAATGGAAAGGACCTTATGTTGTTGTTCTTGTAACCCCCACTGCCCTAAAGGTAGACAGAATCAGCGCCTGGGTACATCACTCTCACGTCAGGAAGGCTAACTCACCGGAACAGCAGTCAGCACGAACAAACTGGAGAGCACATTCAGATCCTGAGAACCCGTTGAAAATAAGATTGACTCAAAACAATGAGGACTGAAACCTTCATCTTTGCCTAAGCCTCTGCTGTCTTGGAACCAGTGCAACTAATCATCAACCTTTCAAGTTACTTGGCGAATCCGTGATGGACAAACCCGTGAAACCTTAAACTCCACCACCCATACCACCCCCCTTAACATATGGTGGCCTGATTTATTTTTCTCACTCGCAACACTTACTGACTGTTCCTGGGATGAAGGTTTTATCCGTAAGATGGGGTGTTTTGCATGCCCTGGGTACAAAAGGAATGTCCAGCAATGTGGGGGGCTCATTTGGTATTACTGAAAAAGTTGGAATTGCGTGACTTCTAATGATGGGGAATGGAAGTGGCATGTAGAAGCCCAGGACTATGTAACATTCTCCTTTGCCAAGCCCAAACATACTTCTACTTTAGGAAAATGTAAGGAATGTGACTGGGTAAAAGTCTCATTCACTGAACAGGGAAAGAAGGAATCAGCTAAGTGGAAAATCGGGCTTACTTGGGGTCTCCAAATTTGGTATAAGGGATACCCCTCTGGGGTAATAACCATTTTACAGGAAGTAGAGCCCTTAAATACCGGGCCAGTGGGTCCAAATGAAGTGTAATATTCCCGGGAAAAGGAACCCTACCCCCTACAAGAAAGACGTTGAAAGAATCGAGCACTGTAACCCCTGATGTTACAGTAAGAGTCCCCCATAAAACTCCGAGGGTCCAAGCCAATCCTCAGGACATAGACCCTCTTTGGAATTTAATGCTAGTAGCTTACCAAACACTTAACCATACTAGTCCTAACCTGACTCAAGCCTGTTGGCTCTGTTACGATGTAAAACCTCCATTTTATGAAGCAATAGGCATTAATACCTCTTTCAGCTATTCTCATGACCTGAACCCAAAGAATTGCTCCTGGAAAGACCGTAAGGTAGGAGTTACTATACAACATATAACAGGAAAGGGCTTATGCATGGGGAAACCCCCCAATGCTCAAGAGTGTTGCACCTCATATACTAAAATAAACCCATCCTTTAACTGGATCATTCCCAGGGAAGGAGGTTGGTGGCTTTGCTCGAGAGCTGGACTTTTACCCTGTTTAAACTTGAAAGTACTTAATCTGTCCTCAGATCATTGTGTACTAGTGACTGTTCTGCCCCGAATTCTTTACCACCCAGAGGAAGAGCTATATGTACACTGGGGTGGGACTAGTAGAGTAAAAAGAGAACCACTCACTGTAGCCTTTACTCTAGCTACTCTGGTTGGCTTATCAGGGACTGGTCTGGGAATAGCTTCTTTAACTGTACAGAATCAAGGCATGAATTCCCTGAGGGCAGCTATAGACAAAGACCTTGAAAGGATAGAACCCTCTATCTCAAATTTAGAGAAATCCCTAACCTCACTATCGGAAATTGTGTTACAAAACCGCCGGGGGTTAGATCTTATACTTCTCCAACAAGGAGGATTGTGTGCGCTTTAGGAGAAGAGTGTTGTTTTTATGCTGATCATATGGGAGTAGTTCGGGAATCTATGGCCAAAATATGAGAAGGACTTGCCCTAAGAAAAAAGGAGCGTGAAACTCAGGAAGGATTGTTTGAATCTTGGTTTAATAACTCCCCGTGGTTGACTACTTTGATATCTACTCTCTTAGGACCCTTCATAATCCTAATAATTATATTGACTTTTGGTCCCTGCATTATAAATAAGCTTATATCATTTGTAAAAGATCAAGTTAATACTGTACAACTTATGGTCCTGAGACAACAATATCAGTCCTTATCTCCTGTAATACAGGAGGAAGATTCCTCATATGCATAACAAAAAAAAGGGGGAGATGTGAGGCCTGAGTCCTAATGGCCTACAGGTAATTTAACCAGAAGCCTTTAGTGCCAGGGATTCTAACACATCCCATGCCTCAGGGCTTTTATCTCCCCTCTGGATTCTGGCACGTATCAGAGATTTACCTGGCTCCTGTAAGTCTCCCACGCATCAGGGCTTTACATCCTCTCTAGATAATAATTCCCTAACCAGACTTTAGGGCCAGGGGATTCCAACACGACCCCCCATGTCTCAGAGCTCTGCCCTAAACCCCTTAGCAACAACCAATCATCTGTACCACTTTTGCCCTGGTGCTACTCCACCCTATATTTTTCCTATAAAAATGTAATAGTAAGAGGGCACGGGATCTTTTACCCAAGCCACTGCATCGGTGTAAGCAGGGACCCTAGCTCGAGCTAGCAAATAAAATTTCCTTTTGGTTTTGCATTATCATGTCAGTGGTGGCTTCCTCGCGACGACACTCCTTTCCAAACACGGGCTCAACACACCCAAATCACAATAAAAAATTAAATCAATCAATAAGTAAGTGTGGTGCTCATATACACTTCTGGTCAGTATAATGTCGTATGATTTTCTTGGAGGAAAGCTTAAAAACAGGCTTCAAATTCCTTTGAAAATGTGAATGTCCTTTAATTCAGCAATTTCTCTTCTAGGAATTTATTCTAAGGATGTAAAGGACATCTACAAAGCTTTAACTACAAGATTGCTTGTCACAGTTATGCTAATATTGGAAACAACCTGACTGTGTCCAAAATCAAAGAGATTAGTTACATAAATTATGTGGCTAGTAGTAGGAGTCCTCGGAAGGAAGGTTGGGCAATCCTACTTCCGTAGTGATACTGCCTCGGAAACCCAAGGAGGGGTCGCTATGAGTCGGGGCCAACTCGACGGCACATAACAACAACAACAACAGTAGTAGGAAGGCAATGTAGAGTTTTAAGCAGGAGAGTGGCATTGGATTTTTGTTTATATTTTTAAAAAAATTTATTTTAGAAGTAGTATGGTCTCTAGTGGTAAAAACTCCAGAAAAGATGGTTTTTGCAATAGTGTAGGTAAGAGATGATGCAGAAATGAACTAAAAGTAAGGCAGAAGGAATGGAGAACTGATTGATTTTGGGAGCTATTTCCAAAGTAGAATCAGTAGGATTTGTTGACTGGCTTGGTGTGTGTGTGTGTGTGTGTGTGTGTGTGTAATATTGGAAAGGTTTTGAGGAAATAGGAGTCTGATTTAAATCCTCCTTCCTCAGTTATTAAGGCACTGTGATTAAAGCATTGGGCTGCTAACTAAAAGGCTGGCAGTTCAAACCCACCAGCTGATCCATGGAAAAAAGATCAAACAGTCTGCTTCCTTAAATATTTACAGCCTTGTAAACATTATAGGGCAGTTCTGCTCTGTCATATAGAGTTGCTATGAGTCAGGATCGACTTGATGACAGTGAGTTTGGTTTGATTTGGTTTCCTGGGTATTGCCATAGTGATTCTTTGACTGCTGACTAAATTTGAACCCTGATTAGTCAGCAATTATCCACCCTTTCTGAGCTATAGCACCCACCTCATAGGATACTTCAAGTCTTGTAAAATGTTCAGCACATAGTAACCACTCAATAAATGCCAGCTTTAAAAGACTGAAAATGCCATAATAGAGGGAGAGTCCCCATGTGGCCTAGAGATTTCTCAGACCTCCCATCCCCATTCTCTATGGGCACAAAGCTTTGCCTCCACTCTTAAAAACTTCATGCCATAGCATGGCCAAGACACCTGATCTCATTATCTGACAGACTGAGGATTTCAGGTTCTAAGTCTTAAACGTATTTTCTCTCTCATAAGCCTCCTTTAAAGGAGCTCTGGTGGTGTAGTAGTTAAGGCATTTGGTTGCTAACCAAAAGGTCAGTGGTTCTGTTATCAGACCAAATGTGGGTCCCTGCCCAGTGTGCAGTCAGGGCAAAACAGTTTACACACCGAGATTGAGAGGAGAGAAAATTACTTATTGCAAAGCAGCAGTGCAAAGAGTTAGGGGTAGTTAGTACCCAGATCTTAACTCCCTGAGATGCCATCAAAACACAGTTTTTGTAGGTTTCTGGAGAGGTGTTGTGCATATTCACAAAAGGTTGAGGAATTTGGGGCATGAACTTGAAATGGGTGACGGAAGAGTCACTAGTTTCTTGTTATCAGCTGATAGGGGCTTGGGCAGAGGGGAGAGGGTCAGCAATTAACTTTTGTTCCCTTATGTCCCAGAGTTAATTTACAAGTTGTTTCTAAAATACTTCCCTTCTGTCCATGTTCATTTACAAGTTATTTCTAAAACATTTATATTGTCTGTGGCCAGAGTTAATTTACAAGTTATTTCTAAAATACTTTTAGCAAGTCTATCATCTGCAGGAAGGAATGTTTTCCATTCAGTTCTTTAAGGAACTGAATACTCATCTGGTGGGGTGGGAAAATAGTTGGAGGTAATTTAGTTTGCTTATCTATCCCTATCTGGGTGCCAGGGTGAGGGGTGCCAGGATGGGGAAAAATAGTTTTCACTTTACTGGTTTCAGTTCAAACCCACCAACTGCTCTGCGGAAGAGTGATGGGGTAGTCTGCTTCCATAAAGATCCAAAAAAAAAAAAAAAAATCCTAACTCACTGCCCTTGAGTTGGATCTGACTCATAGTGATCCCTCCTTGTATTTCTGAGGCACTATCTCTGGTAGCATAGTGGCTAAGGCACTTGACTGCTAACCAGACGGCTGGCGGTTCAAACCCACTAGCCACTCCTCGGAAGGAAGGTTGGGCAATCCTACTTCCGTAGTGATACTGCCTCGGAAACCCAAGCAGGGGTCGCTATGAGTCAGGTTTGACTCGACGGCACATAACAACAACAACATCACTATGGAAGTAGATTGCCCAACCTTCCTTCTGAGGAGTGGCTGGTGAGTTTGAAACACCAGCCTTCAGGTTAGCAGTCAAATGTCTTAGGCACTACACCATCAGAGCTCCTCCATGAAGATATATAGCCTTGGAAACCGAATGAGGGTCACTATGAGTTGGAATCCACTTGATGGCAGTGAGAAGCCCCCTTTAACAGTTGTACAAACAGTATTTTCTGGAACTCTCTTTATCTTCTCTTCCACATCTATTTCCCTCTTTTATCAATTTTCCTAGGAGAGCTAGATATGTCCAAGAGGGAGGTGGAAATACACACGTGGAGCTC